AATTCCCGAAAAAAAATGAAAAAAAATCCCAGAAAAAATACCCCTCCTTTGAATATCATCAAGAGTCTACATGATACATCTTCAATCTTCATCATCTGTGACTACCACCACCCAACCGTCTCTCACCACTGCTACACCCGAAAACCCTCCCCAAGGCTACCGCTGCCGCCCGAGCGTCCGCTTGCCGCTCACGCAGGTCTGTCCAGAGGCGACGTACGCGCTGAAGAGCACGCCATCCACAGCCTCCTCCACACTGCGTGTGTCTGCGAAGACCTGTCGAGAGGTGTCTGAGGAATATGTGGAAACAATGTAGTAACTTAGTACATGCACACATGTTGTTCAAGTAAACGTGCTTCTCTTTTTGAGGTATTCCTCGCTTCCTTGCATAACCAAATACTGTCTACATTCCGATCGAACATCTTGACGAAGACCATCTTGGAGTCTTTAATTCAATTTTGGGTGGTTTGAACCATCCCCAATAACATTAATTGTAGTTACAGTGAGTGAAGTGGGACACACCCTCGACTCCAAACAACAAATCTATAGAACCCAGAAAGAGAAGCACATTTGCTTGAACAACATGTGTGCATGTACTACATCGTCTATTGCTTCTTATGATTTCTTATGTCTTTTGATAGGATCTATCTGAAGGTACATCTTTTGGAGTGCTTAGGACCTTAGGAGTGGTCCGCTCCTTTGGTCCACTGCTTCAGCCCCAGTGACTAGGACTGGTGCGTTGCCGCCCAGCTCGGCGCAGTAGGACCGCACGCGGCCGCACTCGGCCATGGACCTCGAGTGAGAGAGAGAGAGACCGGTGGATGGAAGACACCACTGAACCACCTGGAAGAACAAACAGAGGAACCAGCTAGCGTGGCGTTCATTGGCTTTCACTTTTTAGAGGTCATACACTGGAGGGAGGGGGGCGTTTTCTGCAGGTTGGAGAACCCCCTGAGTCGAACGGTGCGAGCGGACACGTCAGTACACCCTAGAGTTGATGTCTAGTTATCCACTATATAATTGTAGAGCGTCACTGATACTTAATGTTTCTTGTCGATCATCGTCGACCTAGTGTCGACATGTCAAATTTGGATGTTCGACAAGGTTTGATGGATGGAAGTGTTTCTTTTAAGGGTTGATATCCTGTTGGGGCCATTGCATGTGAATGGTGAGCAACGGGGCTGCTTGGGAGAAAGTGGATAGGTGATCCTGACTCTGCCGCTGCTACCATCTCTGGACCCTTGTGTGGTTTTAGGTCATGTTACTTCCTTTTGGCCACTAGGCCTGAAGCAAATCATCACAATGGTCGTTGCAAGCGGATTTGCTGCAGGTATATTGCAATCCTTATTGCCCTTGACTCTTGACCCTCTCCTATCCTGTTTGTCCGTAATGAAGCATAGAACCTCCTTTTCTCTTCAAGCCCAGCTCGCCCAGCTCCTTATCTTCAAGCCTCCAGGCAAGGCACTTTTGGATTAGCAGGCCTGTTGCTGTGCCGCCGGTGAAGTCCAACTTTTCCTGATCGCCGGTACGCCGGGATGAATGCCTGAAGTGACGCACCTCCATGCAAGATTCACCTTTGTGGTGCCCAGGTGAATGTCTCCAAAACGTACCACACCACCACCACCACCACCACCACCACCATAAATCATCTCTCTTTCTCTCTCTCTCTCTCTCGAAGATATCCCGGACGACCTAAAGCTCCCAAAGTATTCTCCAAATGTAGTCTTCAGATTCAACGGTAGCACAGCAGCGCGGTAGCAAGTACGATTTGCTCAACAAACCTTAAAACTGCATCCACCCACATCTCCATCTCCATCTCCACAGCCCACGCCCCCCACACCACACCAGGCGTCCACCACGGGATGCCTCGCCAACGCATCCCCCGCCGCCGGGCCGTCGCCCGGCAGCACCTGCAGCGTGCTGGGCGGCAGCCCGGCGTCGCTGAGCAGCTCGGCGAGGCGCAGCACGGTCAGAGGCGCCTCCAGTGGTGGCTTCACCACCACAGTATTGCCTGGAAGGTCAGTGGGGACCGGTTTCCAGATGCCCAGTGGGGCCTGGAATGGATACTGTACTTTATTCCCAGGTAGCATCTTTTCCATCATCAAGCGAGAGGAGTGTGCTGAATCTGCCAGGTGTCGGACATGCTTGGTGAATTCCCTGGAAAAAGATCGAAGATCTTAGCGATCTCCCACGCTCTCCCATTCTCATCTCTCTTTGAGACACTTTGCCTTAATAGTTGCAAATTACAACTGTGCTTGACATTCTTAATCAATTGTGTTAACTAGAAGAAATGTTGAGGTTCAATTGATGGTGGTTGGGGTAGCTGTCAGCCTTCACGCATTGACATTGACATCATCACATGCATCTTTGCAAATTATGCAGGGACCACCGCGCCTGCAGCCAGCGCCACTGAGATCTTCTTCGCTGCAATCAGCACCTGGTCAATGAAACCGGAAAACAGTTGCGCTGGCTAGGCCGGCGTGGCGTTGAAGCAACCAAGCAGGGGACTTCTTCAACAACGTTCAACAAGCATCATTGGCTGATTCGTGAAGCCAGTGGTGAAAGCCACGAGTTTAACCACCAACCTGGGTGGCATTCATAGAGTCCGGACCCAGGAGGAGGAGTTGTGAAGACTGAAAACGCAAGGGTTAAAAAATAACAACACATGGTTTCTGTAGGGGTGCCCTGCCAAGCGGGTTAGCTGCAAGTGCTTGGCTCGTCTCGCTGTGAATGAACTCACCTCATCACCTCATAAATGCAACAGCCAAATAGTTCTGAGACCACCCATCTCCACATCTCCCAGCCCAACGGATCCAGGGCGCCGGATGGTTCCAGGGCGTGATCAACCCACAAACACCCAGCGGCACACGCCACACCATGTTCACGTGATCGCTCTCGGTCAGCGCCGGCAAGCGGCCCTAGCGGAGGCCAGCAAGGAGAAGGGGTTGTCGCAATGAACATGCATTAAAACATCCAAAACGAACGCGTGCATCCGTGTGAAAACACGTTTAAAACATGTATTTGTTTAGGGGAGGTCTGATCACGACGGTGTGGTCTGTATCCTTTTAGCACTCAGATCGGCAGCGTCCAGAAGTGGTTCCTCTGCCAATTTTGTGTCCAACATCCTATAGCTCCTTTTCCTCTTGCGCTCTGCTGTCGGCAGTTCTTTGGTTTTTGTATTCTACTGTACGTCGCAGGTTTGCAAAAGGAGCTGGTTTCGGGATACCAAGCCTCAAAGCCTTTGGCTGCCGCATACGAGGCGTGATACTCAAACCTTCAGCGGGCTTGAATTGGCCAATCAAACTAGGGGAAGAAGGAGGCAAAGGTTACTTGCAATGCTTTTGTCTGCTCATGTGGCTGTTCTTCTGCCATCATGCTAATAAGATATGTTTATACAATCTTATATGTAGATAATTAGTTTACACACTAGGTGTAAATAGTATATATGCGTATAGAATATGCGGGTGGCTTGCCTTTATTACTATTTACATATTCGGGACTAGTTCAGTTCACACACTTGAAGCCAAAATGGATAGGCCGAAAACTTGTGGCATTTCATCAAACGGGAAGAACTGCAAGGAAGCGGCTGAACATATTCCAATCAAGTCTCAATCTAAGGCTAGCTTGGCCACTGAGCGCGGCTGAACACAAGATTGAATAAATGGCCTGGTTGTTGCCTACGCGTTCGTTTGCCTCTACCATACCCAACACGCGAAAAGAAAAACAAAACCGTTGAGAATGTCTGACCAGGGCGCCATTCGGGCACACGGCCGAGTTGAGCCTCGCAGCAGGATTGGCAACAAACATGATGGCGTGGAGGAGCGTACCAGTCAGACATCACAAATCCCCACCACAGAGCGTGAACTATATGAACAACCCGTGGCAAACATTTCATACGGGTTTTGAAGGGACAACGACAAACATAAAACAAAAAACGCACTGAAAAACATATCAGTTAATTGGGTTCTGAAAATGGGCCCTGCCAATCACTCCTAAAGTGCAGCAAACACCAAAGCCAAAACAATAATCGGTCTAGGTTTGCCATGATCGATTCAAAAAATAGTCAGGCTGAATGATACCGATCGCATCTCAAACACTCGAAACAAAAGCATGCCCGCCTTGTATTCTCTAAGGCATCGCCCTGTCTGCCGTGTCTCCAGCTCTACCAGCTCACCCAGATTTTCTCGCAGCAGCTCCGCAGCTCGCGCCAACACACGTCCGCGCGCGCGAGGGTTCAGGTCCTTGGTCGAGCGGCCGGCTCAGCGTTTGGTGGGTCCTCGGGTGACCGGTGGTGATTTACTGAAGGGTAAGCGAGGATCAAATCAGTTCTGAATATGGTGAGAAATCCAAAATAAACAGGCCACTTGCAGCCACTTGCTCAGGCAGCCACTTGGCAGCCACTTGGCAGCCACTTGTCGCTCAAGCAAGTAAACTTCAACACTTGCACTTTAAGTTCTTTGTGTAAAAACTGCAAGATTTCTTCGCCTATCTCTGCAGAAGTTTGGAATTTATTCTCGGACAAGTCTTGGATTATTTCATGATTTCTCCGCGCGCAGCTCTGGAGAAAACCGGAATTTCTTCGCAGAACAGCATTCGTTGCAGAAATCTTGGTTTTCTCCAGAGCTGCGTGAGGAGAAATCATTATATTGTCCGGACAGAAGTAGCAGTCACTTGCAGCCAATTGCTTGGGCAGCCACTTGCAGCCACTTGCAAGTGGCTGCAAGTGGCTGCAAAATGGAAAATCAAAATGCGCACCTCCTGCGAGCTCAATGTAATTAAAGACTTAGACCCAGAAGTGCCTCCAGTATTTCAGTTAAATCAAGGTCAGTTGGCATACGTGATTCATCATGATTCTCATATCATATCCAACCAAAGGGCGTTCACTCTTTGCGTGGAGCATGGACAAGACAACAGAGTTAAGCAAACGGTCGTTCTCAGGCATGGAGGATCGACCGAAACCAATCCCAGCCCTGGCTTCTAGGCTCCGAGGACCTTGAAGGTCAAACCCATATGGCGATCGGAACAAGACGTGCAACACACAATGACAGGCTAGGATAATATCTATCCAAATCCTATCCAAATAAGTTGATATTGCAAATGAAATACAATGTTCTATAGATTAATATATATATATATACATTTAGTGGTCCTCCACGCCGTCCCGCTGCTGGATGCATGACGCTTGACACCTCTGACGTGCAGTCACCAAGGAACGCTCCAGTCCCCTCGCTTGAAGGCCGCATCGGCCGCTCGTACAGCGAGATCCACATCCTCCTGGGTGGCTCCACGGGGGCTCCACTGGTACAGCTATAGGGGAAGGGGATTCTTGAGCCATAGAAGAATGGCGTAGAAAAACCAGGTCGGATCATGGAAGCTCAGCAAAGATCTATATTTTTCGAGCGGCTTCCTATGGAGCTTTGCCCGTACTAGTGAGATTGTCAATGAATCCTTTTCCTTAGATGTCTCGAATCATCAAGACAACAAAAAGCAAGCCCTGAACCAGCCGAAAGAGGTGGTTTAGCAAAACTCGGAGCAAAGGATCTGCAGCAACTGGCTTGAGCCCAACATGGAAGGATTCATGCAGTCACGAAACCCTTCCTTCAAAGTTCAAAGTCGCATGATACACTCACCCAAGTATGACCCTCAATTTCATTGTGGCAAACCCCACATACATACTAGTTTGCGCCACACATCACCAGGCAAGTTTTCTTCCCAACAAATCATCGTGACAACTTGACAACCCCGGGCGAAGTCTTTCCCACGTTGGAAAACCCAATTCCAATTGTTCATCTCCTCCACCCATCCCCCCCAGCAGTCCCCCTACCCATCTCCCCCACTCCTTCTCGGCCGACGCGCAGGTGGCCACCAGCTCCCCCGTCGCCGGGTTCCGCACCTCCGCGGTGCCGCCGCCCGCGGCCTCCGCCCAGGCGCCCTCGCGCCAGAGGCCGAAGTGCGGCGCCGCCGCCAGGTGCCGCGCGCCGCGGGGCCGGACACCACGGTGCCCCAACAGGCGGAGGGCGCGGTGGAGGTGGCGCGGGAGGGGAGACAGCATGGTGGGGCTTGAGGTGAAAGGGGGCTGCGGAACAGAGCGGATGCTTTCTCTACGTTTTTTAGGAGGGGCAACTTCAGATAGGCAAAGTGCAAGAAATTATGCTTATTATGTGTCGTGCCTGCAGGGCCTTGTCCCGAGTTTCCTCGTGCTATTAAAACCCTCGGTCGCAGGGAAAAAGGCGAAAGAAAAAGGGCTGGGACAACTCTCAAGCAGCGACCTGTGGGCTGCGGCCCTGCAAAATGCAAAACAGCATAAAACATCCTAAGTCTTGACGACTGACCAGGCTCAACATCACTCCACATGTCTGGTAGGCCCATGTATGTTTCAAGAGATGCATCGCGAGCCAAAGTTTTAAACAAACGTTGTTTCAACCCAAACAAACACCGTGCAAAGAAGATTGTTTGTTTTGCGAACAAAAACGAGGGTTTCAAACCTCGCCTCCCCGGCCCCCGGGGGGGCGGGGGGGGGGGAAACAAACTAACTCTGGAACGGAAACTTCGTTAGTTTCGGGGGCAAAAAACAAAGGTTTAAAACTTTAGTTTTATGGGCAGATACTAAGGTAATGTCTGCGACAGACTTTCGACTGCGTAAAATTTGTGTATCGAAACCCCGAAACTATAGATACAGGAGTTTGTTTCGCGGCAGTGAAACTAAAGTCTTTTGGAGAGACTGTTTCTTAATCGTGTGTGCAAGGAAGCACGCCAGCCTCCTTTCTACTCGGCCAGCCTCACAGAAAGCGCAGTCGTATTGGAAAGCTCCATGGGCACATTTTGAAACCTAGCTGGAAGGATTTCCTTGTAAGTTGCTGTGGGGGGGGGCTGCGCCCCCCC